ACGCGGGGCTTGAACTCACGTCCTTGAGATCAAGACCTGAGCTGAGATCAAGAGTTGGATGCCCAGGCACCCCTCAAATCCACGGCTCTTAAAGTGATGTTACATGCCTCTAATTATCTACCACATAGTGTGGCAGATCACTTCTCTCCCTGCTTCTGTAAATTCCACTGAGAAGGGGAAATGAAGACTCCTGGGATGTGTGGCATTTCTTCAACTGTTCAGCCTGAGGCAGATCAGATACTCTTGACTCACTTCGGTATAGCTCAGTCCATTTTTCCAAGCACCTATTGGACTAGGTCCCATCAAATGTGGCATTAAATTCACATTTATGAGTGAGTCTTATTTTTCCCAAATACCAACAACACAGCGTGCTCCACCACAAGAGCTTTATTTATGATGGACTTTCAGCCTTATATAGTGAGTATGCTACCAATCCATCTTATAACAAATCCCTGCACCTAGTTTCTCAGGGGCTATCGGGCATCCCTGTCTATCACCATGGTTAACAAACTCTTCACCAATCTGGCAGTAATAACTGGTTTAAACCAGTGGCTCACAACCTAGTTCCTTTTTTTTTTTTTTTAAGATTTTATTTATGTATTTGACAGAGAGACACACAGTGAGAGAGGAAACACAAACAGGGGGAGTGGTAGAGGGAGAAGCAGGCTTCCCGTGGAGGAGGGAGCCCGATGCGGGGCTCGATCCCAGCACCCTGGGATCATGACCTGAGCCGAAGGCAGACGCTTAATGACTGAGCCACCCAGGCATCCCACAACCTAGTTCCTTTTATGATTTTCTTTTTTCATGAACCTCAGAAATTGCTGTAATGTCAACAACCAAGCAAGAGTGAATATACTTTTTTTCTGTTACTGAGGTTGTGGGAGGATACTAATCCCTGGGTTCTGGAGTCCCCAGGTTGGATACTGCTGCATAAATGGTTTTACAAGAGTCGTGATCCTGCAGTTTTGATAATGACTTGTAATTCAGTGTGTAGACTCGGGCAGTCTGGGACTCAAACCTTCTATTTATAGAATTTTATGCAATATAAAGCCTTTCCATTATTGTTTTCCAAAACGGCATCTTCTAAAGAAGGGGGAAAAAAACCCAGCTTGTTGAGTGTTTCTGGGTAAATATTTTAGACCAATTAGCCAGTACCCAGAAAATTAAGATTATGGATAGAGGCCCATGACGTTACAAAGTAGAGAATGTGTTTAGAATAAATGTACAAACCAAAAGGATAATCCACTTAAGAAGGACTGTCAGGTCATTCTGATTTGAGGGCACGTTGCACAATTTAAAAAAGTGAGAATGTCGCCATTCAGTGAGCTGGGTATGCGCCCTCAGTTTGGGCTCATCTGCAACAATTCTGAGGGATACAAGTGGCTACATCCTTCTTAAACTTGGAACTATGCTTACTTTTTCCCGGGATATTCCTATTGGGAAGGGAATAGCCTCTCATATTCTGGAGAAATAAGTGGCAGAGTTTTCTTTAAAAAAAAAAACCTGTATTCAACAATCTTTACAAAGATACATGAAGACTAGCACATAATTCTAAATAGCCACATCAAATACAAAGTGTAGCAGGGCTACACCAATTACTCCCCCACTGAGGATTTTCTACTGAGCCCCACCACCTAGTTTTCCGCTTAAGATAAGGGGAGGAAAGTGACCCAGATGTCACCAGAATTGCAGCACAATTCGGGAAACACAGTAAGCGTTATCGTCGTAGGGGAAAGATTTACTCTCACGGTCACAGAAAGAAACAAAGACCACCAAAATGTGCTGGAGACAGAGCACAAGTACGTGTTACAACTTCAGACACTGAAGTAGGAAGGGAAGGAGGAAGAGAAGAATTAGGAGAAAAGAAATAGGTGGACATGCAATGGAGCCATTCTATCCCTGGATGTTAACACGAAAGGGTCATGCACTGTGGCAAGTAGAGTGCATTCGCCAAGTACCAGCTTTGCTTCCCTTACTATGAAAGACATGCTTTCTTTGACTCCGTTCCATTGCTCCAGCACCTTCTGTCCGTAAAGACCTGGTGGGAGTTGTCAACTTCCCAGATAATGTCTCACTTGAAAGCTTATCACTGTCTTTAATTATCAGGCAGGATAGCTGTTGGGTACATGGTATGTCTTTCTCCCAGGACTCACTCACTCCAGTATAACTTTCCAGAGAAGTTTTATTTAATTCTGTGGGAGCGCTTGAATTTATGCCCCATTAAAGTTCCCTTTTGAAAATTACAAGCTGAAGCCACATCTAACAATTATGACGTTTCTTTGGATCCCACATAGTTCCTAAAAATGGAAAACTCATTTCATGGTCACAGAGCCAAGAAAAAATATGACTTCATTTGGAAATGCCTAATTTTTTAAAGTAAATTAAGTGATTTCAGGTGTTTAAAAAAATTTTTTTTGAGATTATAGCATTCTATAAACACTGGACATGCTCTGAAAAGACTCTGTTGTAAGACATTACATCTGAGACTAGAGACCAAAACTCTTCCTGTGAAGTTTGCCCTTGCTTTCAAATTTAACTCTCATATTTTTTAGTACCAAGGTCAAGAATACAGCCTCTTAATATTTATGTTCTTACTCATCTTTTATTACGCCACAGAAAAAACAACTGGCGCTAGCTTCCTATTTCTAGACTTAGTTACATAATGACTTAGGGTATGACCATCATGGGTGAGTCAATCAATCATCTGACAAACATGAGTTCCGACTATGTGCCAAGTAGGACCAAAGTTCTACAGGAACAGCTCACCTGGTCACGCTCCTATTGAAGATCAGGGTTCCAAGCTTCCAGTAACATCAAATACATAGTTGAATTGAGACACACTGACCACTGCTTACTTTCCAGGAGGACTGTCCCCTTACTTTTTACCTGCTTTTTGGGGGGTGGGTTGGGGTGGGGGAATATCCTCTGACATGAATAAAAATACCAAGGACTCTAACTTCACCAAGACTTCCCCGAAATTTTCCACAGCCCCTACTAGGTACTGGGATCTCTGGGCTTGTGTCTTGGGATCTATGAAGATCCTCCAAGGAGCAAGGTAAAATCCAGGTCTGCAATCTCTGGGGAGTTCCTGCATCTTAGAGCAAATAGCCGGTGGTGGGGGGAGTCCCCCTCAGGAAACTCTGCAGCAATGAGGTCCCTGCATGGACAGCTAAGCAGGATGCCTCCCCAACATTCAGGGCTGTCCAGGACCTGGCTCCAGCCTTTTCAGCCATCATTGCCCTTCATACATTCTAGTCACCCTATTCTACTGACTCAGCAGCACTTTGTTTTCCCTCACCTGTCTGTCCCAGCTTCCTTCCATACCTTTGCTCATGCTATTCTGTCTGGAATGTCCTTCTTTCTCATCTCTCTGCTCTTTTCACTCATGCATGTTCCGTCAGCTCATTTAAAATGCCATTATCTCCATGAAGACTTCTCTCATGCATCACCCAACTAGAAGTTTCTTTCTCCTCTGAATTCCCACACATCGTGTCTATCTCTCTTCTATTGTTTGTCACATTTTTTTAAAATATTTTTTTAATTTTATTTATTTATTTCAGAGAGAGAGAGAATGAGAGATAGAAAGCACGAGAGGGAAGAGGGTCAGAGGGAGAAGCAGACCCCCCCCCCGCTGAGCAGGGAGCCCGATGTGGGACTTGATCCCGGGACTCCAGGATCATGACCTGAGCCGAAGGCAGTCACCCAACCAACTGAGCCACCCAGGCACCCTGTTTATCACATTTTAACTTGTATGCCAGTCATTGCATTTCATTTGTTAACTTCCCTATAAAACTGAAAGATACCAGAGTCCAGAGGGCAGGTCCTATTTATTTCTTGCATCCCACTCAGTATTTCCATGGTTTTGAAACTGGGTTCTGCCACGGCTACAGGGTTCCACAGAGGTGTCCTGAGACCACCAGGGAGAGCAGAGAGAATGGATGCATAAGGAGACATCCTCCCCCTAAATGTGCTTCAGTCAGATGGGTTCTGAATCCTTCTATTTACTGTGATTTGTGTAAGCTTTTTTTTTTTTTAAAGGATTCTGCCAGAGATAGGAAAAAAAAAATTGCAGTAGACACTGTCAAATAAATGAACAGAACTATACCCAATGTCTCTAATGCTTCCTCGATTCAGATATAATGAAACCCAATGATTAAAAACAAGGAGCAAAGGTGCAGAGTGCCTGTCAATCAAAGAACATGGTCAAAACAGAGGGCCCTTTCTCCTATCCCGTACTGACCTTTTTACAGTAAGATTTGATAGAAGCCTCTGGAGCCATGAGTAAGTTATGTTTAAGGTGTCAAATAGAACCACTCTGGCTTGGGTTCTGCTCTGGTGTGTGTCCACGTACACAGGCACATCTACCATGCTTTGATCTCAATGTAATTTCAGGGAAGTTGGAAGGGTTAGAAACGACGCTGATGTCTCTTGATCTTCATTCTCACCCCTCTCCCCCAAATAAATCTACTCTTCCTTCAGTCGGCCCCACCACTGTAACTGGCTCTAATATCCACTCTGTTGCTCAGGCTAAAATTCTAGGAGTTTTCCTTGACTTCCCTCTTTCCTTCACTACCCACACCCAATTTGTCAGGAAGTCCTGTTGGGTCGTTCTGAAGCAGCTCATTTCTCCCCGCCATCCACTGCTACCAGCTGCTGTGGTTCAGGGCATCATCATTTCATACCTCCCTTACCGTAATGCCTCTTCTCTGGTCTCCCACTGTCTGCCCCCTCCTCCCTATTATCCATTCTCCAGGCAGCAGCGAAAGGCATGTTTAAACCTTTTCCTATTCAAAAGTCTCAAGGTTTTAAAACTTGAACTCCTAACTGGTAAAAATAATCTAGCCAGCATTTATATTTCACTCCAAATGAAGCAAATTTGCTCATCCCGATCATTTCCCACTGGGAAGTTTTCCTTTCATTAGGAAAGAAGATAAATTAGTAGGTGACCGAGCAGAGAGACGGAAGGACTGACGCATCAGTAGAGAACACAAATGACTTACGGCTTCAGATTTGGGAGGCACTGGAGGTGGAGGTAGGGCAATCTCTGAAGACTTCATGGCTACTCCCAGAGTTCCGGGCACAGGAAGAGGAGAAGTCGCACATTTGGACCGGACAGACCCTCTAGACTGATCGCATCGGCTCTTCTCGCTCAGGGAACGCGTGAGAGGCTGATGGCTGGGCTTGCCGTCCTCCAGCCAGAGCTCTTCATAAGGAAGCTCGGACTTCCCCGGGATGCCTGCCGATTCTTCACCGGCTTCTGGGAAAAGGTAGTCGCTCCCACTGTCACCCAGGTCCTGATAGGGCAGGATGTCATGAGGAAAGGGGGCCCACTCGCCCCCCAGGTCCCTGCAGCCATGGAGGTTCACCTCACTGTTGCCATGGAGGTTGTTGCCATACACACAGACGGAGAGCCGGTGGAAGGACTGGGTGAGCTCATCGCGGGCATAGCTAAGAGAATTGGGCACGTGGTTGTGGCCAGAGCACCTGCCCTTCTTGGGGCTCTTGCAGTCCTCATTCCAGTCAGTTTTCACATCTCGGACAGCCCGGGAATACTCGTCGATGTCGAACTGTTCTTGGCAGATACCCAGCCAGTGATGGACCAGGGTCTCGGGCCACACGTCTCCCTTTACCAAGTGTTCTGGGAGGCTAAACTTGGGGACCGTCAAGTGCAAAGGGAAGTGCATGGGGAGGATCTTGTTGTTCCGCAGCACACAGCAAACCACCACCGTCTTGGTCTGGATGTTCACAAACTTGTAGCGATGCCCCTCGCGGATGAAGTGGAGGTCGTACGGGTTCCTGGGTGGAGGGCTGGGCACAGTCACGTTCACGGGGAGCCTGGTTTTCTCCACAATGTTGCGGATGGTGTGTTCGCCCTCCTGCATCTGAAGTTCCAGGGGACTCCGGGTGCTAAATCTGCCCTTGCACTGGAATGGCAGGCTAATGCTTTCATTGGTCCGGTGATTCATGCAGATCAGGCATGGCATTTTGCCTTTTCCCAGCTTGCTGATGGAATTGAGCTTCCCGATCTTTTTGAAGATTGTGTTGAGTCGTGACTTTTCCTTGAAAGTCTTTGCGTACAGGATTTCTGCCTGCCCCATGAGAGTGAGTTCATCCCCAGTACAGAGGGTGATGTTATAAACTTCGGTGTCCTCATTGCATTCACCTGAAGCAACCTACAATAGGATAAACCAAGTTTGAGGTGAGCTGCCTTTAGTCCATTTCCACAGAAAAGTAGAGAACTCGCCATTAAGACACACAAGCACGCATACAAAAAGGAAAATGCTGTTCCCAAACTAAATTTAGCTACTCCATTTCTTTTATAATGTTTATATGGCTAACAGTAACAAGAAGATATTCGTTTAGACTTGTAAAAACACACTTTGTTCTGAAGAAATGAGCAATCTGTTCATTAGTAAAAATTTGGGAAATACAGAGAAAAGACACAAAAAGAAATAACACCCACGGGCCTGATTCAGAAATAGGCACGGTTAATGGTTTGATAAACATTCTTCCAGTTTCTTTGTCTATGCAGAGTAGCATATCATATGGATAATTATTTTGGGACATTACTATTATCATTCTGTCTCTTCCAGTTATTAAAAAAAAAGTTTCCATGAACACCACTGTAGAAAATCCCTTATTTTTTTTTTACTATTAAAATTTTATGAAATTTCCTAAAATTGGAATTGGGACAGAGGATGTAAAAATGTTTTATTTCTCCCTGTTCTTTAATTTTATTATACAAACTATTCATGTTCATTGGCAAAAATATTAGAAAATATAGATGTAAAGATGAACAAATTCTATGGTCTTACTACTAAAGATAATCTGTATTAACAATTTTATATAAATAGAGAAAAAGAGAAATAGATGTGTCATCTATCTTGGAGATATATAAATACACACAATTTTGTTGCTTTGTTTCTCACTATATTTATTTTGTTGTGTTTAAGTATAAACGGTCGGTTGCCAATACTGACCTTATGTATTTGATTATCTGGGCCTATGCCTTAATTTGTCTGACTAGCTCCTTATTGTTAGACAGATGGGTTTTCCCAATGTTTAGCAATTATAAATAGTACTGCAGTGATTTTTTTTTACAGTTCAACTATTTCCTTAGGAGAAAGGCCCCGAAGTAGAATTGCATGGACAAAGCTGTAGATATATATTTGAAAGGTCTAATATGTATTTCCTATTGTGCTTCATCAATGTTACACTTATTTACACTTCTTCCACTTTATGAAATTATCTGTCTCTCCATACCCATGCTAAGTAAGTTCAAGGTTTACCAATATTAAAGGTAAAGCACGCATCCTGCATTTATTTATTCACGTTTTATTTTGATTTATTTATTAGGGTAGTTGAATATATTTTGGTATTCATTTATCTGGCCATTTAGATCTCTTCCTTTGTGAATGTCTGTGCCCTTCACCCATTTTTCTATTGGGATGGTCATCTTATCGATTACTTTTTATGTCATGTGAATGTCATTTATGCTATATATTTTCCAATTTGTTGGGTGAATTTCAACTTTATAACTTCTTTAAGTGCTAAAGTTTTTTCTTCCTACGTAGCAAACATTTTCAAAAATTTTCCTTTGTAATTTCATCCTTGGGTGGTATGCTTCTACTAGTTGAGATATCAGTGGTTCTGAGTTAGGGGTATTTTGCTCCCACTCCCCAGCCCCTGGGGACATTTGACCATGTCTGGAGACATTTATTGATTGTCATGGCTGGGAAGGTGCTACTTATATCTAGCAGGGAGAGGCTAGGTATGTTGCTAAACATGGTACAATGAACAGAACAGCCCTTCACAGCAAAGAATTATCTAGTCCAGATTTCAGTAGTGCTGAGGTTGAGAAAAACTGAGATGATTAGCCAATTTTTCTTCTAGTATTTTGATGGTTTATTAACTGTTTCACTGATTTAATTAAAATTTCTTTGATGGACTATTTAAGGTAGAGGTCTAACTTCAGTTTTTTCTTAAAGATTTATTTATTTGCTTGAGGTGGGGAGGGAAAGAGAGAGACAGAGTCTTAAGCAGACTCCGTGCTGAGTGCGGAGCCCTACACCGGGCTTGATCTCACGACCGTGAGATCACAACCTGAGGGGGAAGCAAGGGTAGGATGCTTAACCGATCGTGCCACCTAGGCACCCCCAACTTTAGTTTTTTAAACAGTTAACTGACTGTCCAGTATACTTCTTAAATAACTATCTCTTTTCATCACTGATTTGAAATGCTACTTTGATCATGTACTAAATTTATAAAACACATACACATTTGTATACTTATATTTGCATCTACTGTGAGACCATTTATCCAAATGACCTTTCTGTCTATTTTCTCATTTTAACTATACTGATTCAATTTCTACATCTTTATCTTACATGTTCAGATCTGAAAACAAAAACCCTCATTTGTGGTTATTCCAATTCAAAAAGTTTTTGGATGGCAAGAAACAAGAGAAGCAAAGTCAAAAATCAAGTAACGGTCTGAGAGAAAATATCTGCAATATCTCCACAAGAGTGAACCTCCCTAATACATAAGCAACTTTTAAAAAATGACCTAAACTCCTCCAGAAAAATAGGTGAAAGTCATGAAAAATCAATTCACTAAAAAAATGAACACAACAGACTTCAAATCTATGAAAAGACATTCAACTTCTTTTGTAATTAGAGAAAAGTAAATGAAAATTATACTGAGATACCACTTCTTTATCTAGAACACTGATAAATATTCAAAAGCCTGACATCATACTCAGTGGGTGAGGCTCTGGGGAAAGAGGCACTCTTGTTCACAGCTGGTAGAAATGCAAAATGATACAAGTCCTATTGTGGGGAATTTGGCAATACCTAACCAAACTATGCACGTTTATCCTTCCATTCAGCAATCCTACTTCTAGGAAATTATCCAATGACATTCCTCCAACAGTGTGAAAATACAAATGCACCAGGTTATTCACTGTAGCACTATTTGTATTTGCAAAATCTTACAATCAATCTAAATGCCCAAACATAGGAGACTGATTGAATAAACTATGATACAAACACGAAATGTATCATGCAAAAAAGAACAAGAATGATGAGTTCAATGAATTGATAGGAAAACGACTTTCAGGATATAGTAAGTAAAAAAACAAACAAAAAAACCCAAAAAACAAAGTGCATAAAAGCTTATACGGTATACTACACCTTTGGAAAAATCAGTATATACTTTTCTGCTTATTTTTGTAAAAAAAAAAAAAGGAATACAAGAAAAATAAACCAGAAAACAATGAAATTAGTACTTAAGGGAGGGAGGAAACTGGTGAAAGGGAGTGATAGCTCTGTGAGTGTACCTAGTTATAGAGTTTTGATGTTTAGGAGGTAAGCCAATGTTCTAACATCTTCAAAAATAAAATTAAGTCAACAAAAAGTTAAAAGAAACTGAAAGCTAAATGCAAATGGGAACAGATGAATCCAATCTTATTTCCAGTGAATAAACTAACCACACAGGGGACGGAGACAGAGAAATCATCCAAGTAACTAAAATGCTTTGACTACAAATTGCCAGTAGGGAAAAAAGACCAACAAATATTGTGTTCTTTTTGGTAGATTTGTTTTGCATATGAGAGTGGGTACGGGGATTCTGAAACAACTTTTTATGTATATTGTAGAAATAAAAAATGAGTAAATGTGTTCCTTTGGGAATCAGAGTTTTCACTGTGGACGGAAGACAGAAACATGGAATTAGGAAAGGTAAGAGGAACTCCATTGGGTTGACTGAAATTGGAGGTATTGGTATTATAACCTGAGGAAACTATACATGCACACACATCTATTTCTTAGCTTTGTTTTTTCTAAGGGACTAGATGCAAAGACTCCCATTATCACCGAATATACCTAGCACCCCAAACCATTCTCCACTAAAAGGAATCATGGCTCCTTGGAGAAATGCCTGATTCCAGGGCTAGGGCAGGAAAGTACAAGATGAGCTTGAAATACTGTGTTGTGCAGGAAAGTAAAGAGGTGCTCTTAAGATGACAGGAATGTGTCAAAAGGGCACTGGAGCCAGCCTGAGCTGGCCTCCACAGGCCAAACCTGGGACGATTTGAGCATCACAATACACAAAGACTGCAATGAATGATAATCTGCTGAACAAAGTAGGAATGTTGAAGTCCATACTGTTAACAAAAGTATGAATGAGTGGAAAAAATGAATGGGGGAAAAGCTGACAAATGTGGAGGAGTGGTGGGACCCAAGATCGGTACATACAAGAAACATCAATGGATGCTCATTTATAGGGTAAGTTTGATTGAGGAGTAGGTTATGTGCCTGGTCTTAAAGTGTCTTCTCTTGGAATGCTTACTGATTGCGAAGGGAGAAAAAGTAACTACAGAGTGGAGAAACTGGACAACACCTTGACCAGGTGATCACATTTAATATAACTGGAGGGGGATCCCCATGTGTGAGCCTCTGGATGTGATTCCCTGAGAAGGTCAAGACCTCAGTTACAGAACATTCCACCTAAAAATGCATTACTAGAACCTAATTATGAAAAAATATCAGACAAACCCAAATTGAGAAATATTGTATGAAATACCCGGTACATATTTGTGAGAAACGTCCATGTGATGAAAGATAAGAAAGGTTGAAGAACTGCTCCAGATTAAAGTGAATGAAAGACAAAATGCAACATCAATGCAGTATGCATGCCTGGAATGGATCCTGAACTAAAGGGAAGAAATGCTATCAAATACACTTTGGTGGACTGTAAAGAAGAGTGCCACATCACTGCTAACTCTCCTGAATGTACCGTTTTTACACAAGAAAATATCCTTATTCTTAGGAAATATACACTGATGTATTAAGGTGTAAAGGGTGTAATGTATGTAATTCACTCTGAAATTATTCAGAAAAATGTAAGTTGTGGTCTGCATACGTATGTGTATGTCAGGGGTAGAGGATGAGAAAACAAATGTGAAATGTTTAAAGTTGGTGAATCTGGTGGTGTCGAGGGAGATCTTCTATTATGCTTACAATAATTTTTTAAGACTTCAAGTATTTAAAAAAAATTAAAACATGACAACAGGAAAATCTTGGATATTTTTGCCTATTTTTCCAGATGAACTTCACAATCATTGTCTATGGTTTGAATTGGTAATTTTATTGAAAGTGCATTTACCTGCTCTTTT